AGAGAGAGAGAGAGAGAGAGAGAGAGAGAGAGAGAGAGAGAGAGAGATGTGTGGGCGCGCAAGTGGGCAAAAAATCTGGTGTGGCGGTCCAATAACACGAATAGGTAACCTGGAAGGAAAGATTAACAGAGGGCAGGGCTATGGTTACAGGTCTTTAAAGTACAGCACGTTCTGTTAAGAAACTCAACGAACTATTTGCTAAACTTTTCCGGGGAAAAAAAACAGTTTAACAGCGTAATCCTTAGAAACTACCTGCGACCTACCTGAGCTCAAATCATTACGCAGCATTTAGCGCTCGCGACTTAAATGTGAACGGTTTAGAATGGGTCCATACACTCCTAAATAAACTTACAGTCGTCAACGTAGCGGTGACATTTTAATTGCATGGCTACATGAGTTGTTTCATTGACATATAAAGCCTGTTTCCAAGGCTGGGAGGACCAAACTTACATTCTCTTATTCACCGGAGCAAGCTGCCAGTGCATGGCGAGAGAGAAGCCGAACAAACTGCCTTTCTCTCCGTCCTTCCGCTGGACGTTCTCGTCGTCCAGGTTGAACGCCGACAGTCGTCCACATCCCAAGAGAAAGACGACCACCCACAGCCCACAGGTGACCCTGCCCTCCATGAGATCCACTCGAATACAAAAAAATCCACTTGACCGGTGAAAGGTGGGTCCTCGCTGAAGGAGGTGCAGAGCGCGACTGACTGCTGGAGGGGGTTGAATGTGGTGCACTTTACTTGCAGCCGCCCCTCCCACTGGACAAGCACACACACACACACCATCCCACTGTACCTCACATGAGATTGCTTTTTAATCTGATTCATATTGTCAAGTACATTTTTTTGTTAGAGTGCTTGGATATCTATTGCCAAGTTTATTTTTCGTTTGCAGCAGATCAACACTGTAATCTAAGCAGGTCAATGATGCCTGAGGCGTTGTCAAAACACATTTGCAGCAATAACATGGTGCTTCAAGCTACCCTGTCATCCTCTGACGGTAGGTCTCTAAGTATAACACTATAATAAAGACTTCTGTTTAAACTGGGACACAGGCTCAATCAAAGCATGCGCAAAGTCCTACAGCAGGAAAATATTGGCAAAAATACCAGGTGACACGAGAGCGCTATCTGGACACTTGCTTCACGTTCTCACAGTAGATTGTGTTTCCTGACATCCTTGCTGTTAACAAGTAGAAGCAGAGACAACAGGCTGGGAGAGAGAAGAGGGCGAATCTGGTAGTTAGTCAGAAATACCAATATTCCTTTTTGGCTTTGGACAACAGACAATAGCAATGTGACCTACAGAGGGACAAATGGAAACAGAGACTGAGATAAAGATACCATTTTTTGACCAAAGGAATTGAAGAAATAGAGATATGCAGCAGTGTGTTTGCAATACAGTAGCTGGCTTCTCCAAAAACGCGGCCCAGAAATCCAGAGCCAGAAATTAGTCCGAATTTAGAGTAACAATCCTTTCTGTGTTCTCACTCCGATCGTTACATGCTATCACCACAGGGCCTGTGTCTTCTGTAATGACTCATTGGATGAGTCACAGAGCCAGAAGGACCCCGGAGACCAGACATGGGCACAGACCTGCACATTAACACACTCCCTCACTTGACGGTTTTCAAGGCATTCCATGAGACGCTGACCCAAAGCCTGTCCCCGCAACACAGCATTTCAGCGGACAACGCCGGCTTTGTCTGCACATTGAGAAAGAGGGCTGACAGAAAGGGAGAGGGAGAAACTAGCTGCCCACATACAGTATAAAAGGCACAAATAATGGTGGAAGAGGGGAATGCAGTGAGGGGAAATTGGACAGGGGAAGAATGTGGTTCAATGTGCAGGTCTGTTAACTACTTAAGTCTTCCTGATCTGAGGATCAGCTGAATCAACATTGCTTTTATATCAGATTTTAAATTAACAGGTAAAATTGGTGCATTTGATGTATATTTGAACTCAAGGAAAGGCTAATTGAATCAGAGGTTCAAAACATGTTCTGGTCGGTCACGTGTTTGGCAGATATCTAATAAAAATGACTCTTATCTTAAAATGTCTCACTTTGAAGTAGTTGAATTCCTAAATCATGTGACCATCTGCTTGTTGACTCTATTTTTGCATCTGTGTTAAAGTTTTTCCCGTCTAGTTTGGGCTGTTCCAGGTAAGAGCAGCAGCCTGCTGGACAATCACCAGTGGATTTTGGCTCTGTCTGCAGAAGCTCAGAAACAGGAATCGACCGTATCACCGATAAGAACCACAGTTTGTAAAGTGAGGTGAGGAGTGTTAGTTCTTTCACAATAAATGCCCAAAGTTTGTGTGTGTGTGTGTGTGTGTTTGACATATTGAGAGAGTGATGACTGAAGGACCACCAATTAATCAACAGACATATGACACTTAATCACAGAAAAGACAACATTCTTTATTGTGTTCACGTTATTTTTTCAATCGTCTGTCCTCAGCACCACAGCCTGTCATTATCATAATAGCTCATTTTCTTCTTCTCCCCTCTTCTCTTCTCGGGAAAGAAAGGCCACACATCTTACACTTAAACAGACTGAAAGACCACTGCAGTTCCAGTCGAGCATCTATCTATTGATATTCAGTCATGGTTTTAGTGTAAAGCCACACAGATGCCAAAGAACAGATCAGAATGAAAGAAAAAGTAAGCAAGTAGTTCCCAACATTGAATAAACAAAGATATAATTAATACTGCCAAGATACTTGAGGGCAGCCTGTTAAATGAACCACCATCAAATGATTGGTTAGATGCATGTCGAAATTGGCTTCCTGATTATTCTATTAATGAATCATTGCTGATGAACTCTGAGTCAGGAGCTGAATGGCACACAAGCATAATTAGTCATTAGCTGCATACATACACATTAGCGACTATCAGTGACTGCTTATTTTAAAGAGTTTTAGTTTATCTTCAACAAACAAGAATCCTGATAAAACATTATACATGCACGCACACACTGCAATTATTTTAATTACCTCTAACCAGAATTAAGAACTGAGTCATGTGTGTGTGCTCCGTGTACAGCATGTTCAGTATTACGACAGCAGAGGAGCACAGACCTCGCCTTGGGTGCTAAAGTAGAGGAATGACAGTGAAAGCAATGTTCTCTGACACACACACACACACACACACACACCTAAAATTCAGCGCCTAGACTCGCCCGAGCCACATCCCTTCCTGTATTTGTTCTTAAAGCTCCAGGTACACTAAGGGAAAACAAACGTACACTCACCTGAGGGTGTGGCGGAATGAGCTGAGTGGTAGGGTGTGTGTGTGTTTTTATGACACTGTAGAAACATGTAGCCTTGAGGTACTGATAAATACACGCACGCACGCACGCACGCACACACACACACACACACACACAATCAGTTTCACAATCATATTGAACTCCAAACCGGAGATCTTTCACAGCTTACACATCAATGCGCTTTCCCTGATCACTTGTGTAAGCCTGTAGATATGTTCAGAGAAGATAATCTCTGAATTAGTTTATGGCTGATTCAGAATCAGTTTAGAGAAATGTATGAAAACTTTGTTAGCTGAAAACCCAGAGTGCCTTCAACCAAAACAGAGGACAGAGGAGGAATGAGTGCTGACGCAGCTTTTCTCAACAAACAGCAGGCACATTTTGCCAGGAGTTTGATACCCTTCTCATATCTGTACAGTAAATATGAAGCTACAGCCAGTAGGCAGTTAGCTTAGCATAAAAGCAGGGGCAGGGACAGATAGCCTGCCTAAAATATCTGAAGCTCCCTAGTTATTTAATACTGAACTTTTGACAGTTTTTGTATGGATCAAACAGAACATGTAAAAGTGCGGGTAGGCTGCTTTTCACATCTTGGCACAGAGTCAAGCTAGTTGTTTCCTCCTGTTTCTAGTTTTTATGCTAAGCTAAGCTAACTTGCTGCTGGCTATAGCTGCATATTACCACACAGACATGAGGGTGTTAATCTTGCCATCTGTCCTGCAATGTCCTGCAAAACAGAAAGAAAGCAAAGCTATAGTAAGCAAGCAAGTGACATTGTGGGGACAGATGTCTAATTTACATCCCCTATGTGGTATCTCATATTCACAGTATTGATCCTATATCTCAGTAGAATTTATACTCATGGTTAAACCATAAAGAGACACATACACAACCACACAACCACACACACACACACACACACACACACACACACACACACACACACACACACACACACACACACACATTGTATGCTGTAACAAATCCTTTACCCTTCTTGATGAGTGTATTGATTACAGTCAATAAGGTGTAATTGATGTCTTCTCTTGCCAAGCAGTGCTGTAACACCTTCGGGACAATTGCAACCCCCCTTTGTACATTTACCTCCTGAGTTAGGGTTGTTTGTGTGTGTGTGTGTGTGTGTGTGCGTGCGTGTGTGTGTGAGGCCAGCCCTGGCCAGAGGATGTAATGTGAGATGGCAGGAGTTGTGAGAGGGGTCCCGGTGTTGCTGGGTCCAGGTGTGCTACAAAGAGATGTAAGCTAACCTGAGGGAGGTGCACAGTGAGAAAAGTTGACTTCCATTCTGTTCAGTTCCCCCTGACAGATTCATGTTGGTGGTGGATGTTTGTCTCAGCACATAAAACATCATTCTTACAGGTTTTCACTTGTAAGTGAATGTGCCACATTCCATTGAAATCAGGTGCTCTGTATAGTTTTATTGTTTTTCCTCTCTTCTCAACTCTAATGATATAATGCATTTTGAATTGTGTCTTCAACCCTTAAAGGTTCTCAATACGTTGTTTAGAGCATTTCTATTGCCTCCACATGGCTCTCAACATGGCGACTGACAGCACCAACAGTGCAAACAACATTACTCCACTATATCTTTACAACAAATGGTAGTTTGCTGCTATATTAATGCTCAGAAAATCATCTTGAGAACCTTTAATTTAGCTTTTAGCCGAAAATATCTGCCACATTGAAGTCACAATTTAACTCCCACCACACACACACACACCCATATCTCTCTCTGACAGTAGTGAAACTGTAAAGTTTATTTGATGATATATATGTTTTTAAAAGCCATGGTGACCAGGCTATAATAAATTGTAAAGAGACTGACTGGGACAATATGGGAAGTGTTGTAAATATGGCTCTCCCCTCTCTTTTGAGAAAGACAGTAAAGTCCAAATAGCTCCAGTAAAGTGGTCTTAGTGGCAAACAGTAAAATACTGTGACTTGTGTAGCGCCCACGTCAGTGTGCAGCAGCTGGAAAATAAAACAAGGAGGTGCCGACACAACCTGATTGCCAACCGTTAATGAATACAGGAAGACCAAAATGCTTGTTTGCTGTTTTTGATTCACTTTTATCTCACAAAGTTGTATTGTTGTGTCCACCACTCAATCCAGACTGGAACGTCTCAACAACTGTTGGAAGGGTTGCTTTTGAATTGTGTGCAAACAGAGGATGAATGACTTTTGGGATCCCCTGACTTGTGCCACCACAAGGCCCTACTCCAGTGAATGACATTTTACCTTCTCAGTCTCACCTAATTGGAACCTACCACCTGCTCAGGGGAATACAGGGTGAGCTAAACCGAGCAAGCATCCAAATTCACACGGAATAATGGACACACCATTAATACAAGATCTGTAAGTTACTGCTGACATCACAATCTATCTATGGGCACTCATTACATAGCAATGAGCAAACCAAATATAACAGAATATCATTACCTGCAGATCTATCTCACCTGTCTTCCTACATGTTAACAGTGCTGAGCCCCTCCCTGCTAAGAAGACATAATGAGGCCAACCTGTTTGCACATCGCTTGATTAAACTGCTGAGAAGCTGATTTACCGCAACATCCCAGTCAAAGCAGCAAATAGAACAGACAAACTAAAGAAGCTTGTGTGATTTATACGCCTTAATGGATAATGTATCAAGTAAACCAAAACATTGGACTTAAAGTAATCAAGCAGACACAAACTGTTTGTGTTGGGGAGCAGGGCTTAGTGAAACGGGAGAAGGCAACCTTTTCACAGTGAATTTAATGTCATTAATTTAACAGAAATATTGATAAATTATACTACACATATCTTCCTTTTTTCAGTGTGATACTTAATTGTTAAAATCTTCAATTATTTGTTGGTCAAAAAATATATATAGTTATTTTTCATGAAACAAAAGAGTGAATACATCCAAAATATCATAATCAAAATATAGCAGAAACAATACAGTATAAGAAGGAAATATTACAATAAATCTACCACTTCAACCACAACTCTAATATGGGGAATGTGCACACACACTGTACACACACACACTGTACACACACCAGTACCCCATTGTCCAAAGCTGGAAGCACAACAAATCAGTTTCCACCATAATGCCTTGTTTTGGTGGCCACAGAGAGCTATACATTATTGAATGGGACTAATTGTTAATTCAGATACACACACACACACACACACACACACACACACACACACACACACTCACACACAGTTGTTTTAATGGCACCTTGAGGATTTGGGCAGAGACTTGCAAATTTGTGAGGATTGTTTAAGGAATTCCTCCACCATTCCTTTAGGCTCCATGGAAAGAACGTCCTTCCCTCTGTTTTTGTCCAGTGCACTATAATGTACATTCAAACGCACGCACGCATACACAGACGCACACACACACACACGCACACATACAGGGAGCTCAGTTACTATTGTTGAAAATATCTTTGGTCTGTAGGAAGGAACATAGTCAAAGCAGGAAAGCTAAATGTGATGTCTGTCACTCATCAACTTCTCTGTCCTCTCATCAAGACAGGAAACTTACATCAATATCACATATATCAAATGAAAGGATTGTCTATCAATGAAAATGATTAATATCGGCACTGCAAGTCTTTGTTGTGGTGAAACCTTTCTAAAATAGATCAAAGAAATGAGGGAGGGCTTTCCTTGAGGAATAAAGCTTATCTGATCCTAAACAAATAACTCTCTCTCGCTCACACACACACACACACACACACACGGCTAAAAGGGTATTGCTCTGAGCTGCATAACCAGTTTTCTTGTGGTCCAAGCACTGCAATAGAGGACATTGTGCCAGGCAGTGAGCACCAGTGTGTTTGTGTGTCTGTGGGAATCTCACAACACAACAGAGGCAGACAGTCCATTTATCATTGACCTTTTAGAGCTGCCTCGGGTGATGTTTACCATCTACACTCTCACACACATACACACACACACACACAGCACCTCTGCTCTTATTTTGGCAGTCTGCTGCAGTTGTTTAGAGTCAGGAAGGGTGTCAAAGGAACAAAGAGACACACAGAAGCCAAAGAGGTACATACAGAAAACAGAGCTACACACTGGGATAAGTGGATAGCGTCCTTATCTGTGGTCTGGGAGCACTAAAACACTCCCCCAAAATATTTCCACAGTGTTAAAAAGACAAAAAAAAACATTCCTCGCAGTGAAAGACTCAAGAGGTCAAACGAGAAAGTTTCTGCCTTGTAAGTGTCAATCAAGAGGGAGCCCTCCCTGCGCCAGTCTGGTGACTCGAGTTTACAACTGACTTCTTCTGTCACACACACACACACACACACAAATGCATTCTTGCACATTAACTGTAACTTGTGACACACATACTCTATATGGCCTAATTTGACACCAAAACATCCTTCATATAAATGTCCACGGAAGCATGTTCCCAGGGTCCTATGTTCCCCAGTTTAATATCCTCTTAATGTGACGCATTTCTTTTGCTCTCAGCTATGTTTTTTCCCCTCAGTCAGTCAAAGGTTCTGTGTATGTTTCAGTAAGTCAGTGTGTTGAAAACACCGCCCTACAGCCAAAAGCCTACTTTTGTAATACTTCTTGAAACCTGCACCAGGTAAGAAGGTTTTTTTTTAAACTTTAGACATTGATATCTCCACAGCAGCTGAACAGATTTATTTTTTGTTTTTATCATTCAAACTGCATTTGAAATGTCAAACCCCCTTCGTTTTTTTGCAATTTGAACTGTAAATATAGCCTTTATCAATATCTTACAATGTTAGTTCATATCAATGGACACATGCGTAAAATCCAACGCCAGACTCAAAACAGAAGAAAAGCAACAGAACAACTTTGTGAGGACGTAATATCAGGTTGAGGTTCAATTTACCGTTATCTCTTACCTTTATATGTACTGATTACAACAAGTACAGATACAATGCAGACAGTAGAATAGCATAGGCTACCTGGATGCAAAAAACAGATGTGTGTGTGTGTGTAAATCGTTTTAAAATCCCTAAGAAGACAGATGTTAAGTGTGTATTATTGTTATATTTAGGGGATGTAGAGCTGGAGAACAAAGGATCCTGGGAACATAAGGATGACCCCAATGTGCCCCACTTTGGTCCAGACTGAAATGTGCCAATATGTTGAACTAAAATAGTAAACATGGTGAACAATATACCTGCCAAATATTAGTATTGTCATTAGCATTGTCATTGTGAGTGTTAGCATGCTGAAATGAGCATTTAGCTCAAAGCACCACAGCTCCTATACTGACTCACAGGCTAGTGTGCCTGTAGTCGTGTTACACGCAGAGTTTGTCAACTAAAAAAGAGTGGATAATGAAATAACAAACAACATGAAGAAACAAAATGAAAGGACATTAAGAAGGTCGAGCACGTGAGTAGCTGCGTTCAGACCACGATCTTGACCAGTTGTATGTAGGAATATTAAAGTGATTTTTCTGTTGTTTCCCTCATTTCCTGCAGGTCTATGATGAAAAAAAATCCCCATTACCGCAAGGATTTCCGTGAAGGTGTTTACTCACTCGACATCACCCTGCAGCCGCTTGTCCCGGCACAGTGCATGTTTGATCCCATAAAACAATCTCAGCTGTTTTTGCTTGGCCTTCGGGTGCTTTGACTCAGTGCAGAGAGGGTTACTCGGTTAAATTCAGTACGTGTGTGTCAGAGGGATCTGCCTCTACAAGTCTGAAAACAATACTTTGCTTTCCTAATGCCACAATCGTACAGGTCACCAAGCAAAGCAAGAATTCCTGTGGAGCTCCTCAGTGAGATACCAGCTAAGTGTGATATATCACAGTCTCAGTCTCACACACACAGGGATGTAGGTGTGCACACCTGGAATGTGGGAACACATTAATCTACTCATCCAGTAGTTAGAGAACAACTGACCACATAGACAGTAAATATGTTAACAAACACACACACACACACACACACACAGAGAAGTGTCCTCACACATGCTGGAATGAATGAGGAATGCAGATGGCAGATATGAACTTCACATGTATCGTCAGCATGGTAAAGATTATGTTAATATTGTCGGAATGAATCGTGAAAAAGTCGTTTTGCAATAAATTCTGAGTGTAAAAAAAGGCGTGAAGTGTCCCATGATGGCACTATTTGTACCATCATGAACTTTTTACCCAAATGTCATTGGAATAGTTATGAAGATATCCTGCTAACTAACAGCCAAACAGGAATAAAAACATAACCTTCTTTAGCAGAAGTAATGACAATCCACAGTCATAAGCAACAGAAGCGCATCATATATTTTAAATGGTGGGCGTGTTATTTGAAAATCAAATACCAAAGAACAGACAAGGATTTACAGGAGAGCAGGAATGAGTCCCAACATGCAGGAAAAGGAGAGGCAGAAGAGAAGATTCATGACTACAGTCCAACACCTCACCCCGCCACTCCCTGCTCCTCCCTAAGACTCTTACCACCTCTACTCTCCCTAGCTTCTGCTCTGTCTTCACTTTCTCTCCTTCTTGCTGACAAAAAAAAAAATGTCTTTTCAGATTTTTATGTTTCAAATTGAATGAATCATATGCTGGTGGAAGGCCGTCAAGAGTTGTTTTTACTTACTCCTGTCCTGATTCACAAGAAACACACTCCTTCAGACACGCACCCTAAAATGAAATGGGGAGTAATGCATTGCTTCAACAAGATACAACAAAAAAAAGACACTTAGTTTGGTATTCAAGAAGGCCTTTCTTTACAGTTTTAAATTTTGACTTTGTCTCTCAAGTTTAATAAAACCTGAATAAATGACCAAGTAATCCTTATCATCTTATAAATATATGTGAATCATTTCCTGGCTGGACATGACCAGGCTCCTGAGTAACCCATCCACCTTTATTTGTCTAATCCTTACTGCCTCACCCACAAACTGGCACTGGCTTGAGTGCGCGCGCGCGCACGCACACACACACACACACACACACACACACACACACAGTACATTGGCAGGAAGTGAAAACACACCCAGTAGGCTGGAATCCAATTTCTCTGCCTATGCATATTTTCCCTCTTAAACTGCTTCACTTCACCATATTCAGTTACAGACGCATTAAGGAGTATTATTACAAAACCATAAAGTTTACATTTCTCCACACAGCACTGTGGACAGAACTCTCAAAGGACTTGACAAAGGTTGTAGGAGAAGAATTTGATCACTCACATACTGCACATTGTAATCTAACTTTAATGTAAATTAACAAGCCAGTAATTTGAGCTCTAAGTGTCAGGTAACAAAAAGGAGGTGAGAAAGAGGTGGATTGCATGTTCTCTTCTTTATCAAATCCACCTGTGGATAAAAGATATAGTTAAGAGGAATAGGAATAATAGACCAAAAGGGTGATGCTGAGTGGAATTTACAACCCCCGCACAGCATTTTTGTCCTCTAGTTTGTGCAGATGTTATTGTTCAGCATGTAAGCTGCACTGAATCACTCGGTCATGCTTGGTAAACTGAGTCTGGTGGTAGTGTGAAAAGCCCTCGTCATGTTGGGCAGTTGATAATCAAGTTGGCCTCAGGCCCTGGGAGCAGACGTTACAAAACAATTCATTATCGACACTTGGTTTAGATTAATCTAAATGTGCTTTCCACTTATAGTTATGGGCCATAAACAGATTAGAGATGGTCAGATGTGGTGTGTTGTGCTGCAGCCCGTTCTGAGTGACATGAGGGAGGATGTGGAGCCTGTGCTTGCTGCAAGGTCAAATGTATTAGTGTTTGCTGCCACCTACTGGCTACACTTGATGACAGTCACTTTCCAAGAGTCACTTCTCCACTGACCTACACTGCAGTCAGCTGACCTTACAGAGTGTGCACTGTTGCATACAGTAAGCATTGAACGGGACAAAACGTCTTCGTCATAACATTACACCTTGAACTTAGACCCTCTTGCTCAGAGGATTGTGGATCAGGATAGCCAGCAAAGCTAGCTGGCATGCATTCTGAAACAGCAATAGGATGCAGGAGGACATCCTGATATTTTTGGCATTCTGCATTTATGTATTAGGACATACCTGTGAGTTCCAATACCCATACTACTTAGTATGCAAGAAGAGATTTAGTATGACCCAAATCTAAAAATTTGAAATAAAATATAAAGGACTTGGAATTTTACAGCACAATTAAATACCTTGTAGTGTAGAGAACGCTATGAAACATTCAAACAATGATGAAGGGAGATAAATATAATCAAACAGCTAAATTTGTACACAAAAATTTAAATTTGGACTCACGACCTCTAAAATCCTTCCCACGGTCTTACTTGTGTGGCTCCCATTTAACTGTTATACGTCTCTCTTGATTGGCATAAATCACATTGAGCTACCATGGGCTTCATTAAAGCTGTCATTAAGGATCACACAAATCTGTGTTCAAAAAAAAAAAACTGTCTAAACTGGCCACCAGCTGATAGGTTAGCAAAAGGACAGACTGAGATTTGAAGAATATTGGGAATCTCTTATAATGACAATATAAACACTCACGACATGCATAGATCTCTACTTCAGCAATTAGATGCACCAGCAGCCACTTCTTCCTCTGTACATGTGCTCCTCAGTCTTTTAATAAACGTTACAGGTAGAAACAACACGCTCGATTTGAATATCTCCAGATGAATCACTACCCAAGTTCTTGTCACAGTGTTTTGTTATCTCAGGCAGTTTGAGGTAAAGAGATTTCTAACAGCTGGACATCAGTTAGATTCCTTCAGGTCACATTTTTTGCTCTCTTCTGGCAGTTTAGTGAGAATATCCACTCCGTCAGATGTGATGACCACAGTGTGTTCAAACTGAGCGGACCTGCATGAATGTCAATTAAGAAAACACACGTAAGATTTTAAAGGAATAGTTCAACATGTGGGGAAATATGCTGATTCGCTCTTTTGAGAGAGTGAGATTAGAAAATACATCCATGTTGTGTCTCATTCCGTTAAAATCCACACACAAACAGTAATGTAAAAACAACTACTGTATGTGTGGTTTTATGGGCTTTTACTTGATGCCGGATGGGAAACCATTTGGTCGGATAAAAGACGAGATATTTCTGTTTGTCCACCACGTACCGCTTATCGTCTGCAGACACTGCGGTCCACTTGTCCCTCAGGATCCTAAACTCTGCCGACCCTTCCATCAGTATGGGCTCTACAAATCAACAGACAATATCAGCCCCACGTTCATACACAGGGGCATCTTAGTGTGTGTGCAAAAACATGAAAAAGTGAACTTGCCTATTGTGAAAGACATCCCTTCATCCATGGTCATGTCATTGTCGTTAGCTGAAAATAAAGAGAAAAAGAGAATTTTCTTCATTAATTACAAAGACCCTTTATCACATGACCATGGTTTCCATCTCAGTTTTCAGTATCCTTGCCTCACAAACTTAACTAGTCTTGTGAGTCTCTTCTGCTCACAAAGCTATCAATACCCCAGAGTCCATTAACATTTACAGTACAATGACTATTTCAGTATGCCATAGACATATCAAGACAGTCCATACTTGATTATAAGGAAGCCAAACAATCCCAAAGAAAGTATTGACAAACACATGGTATACATGCACACAAACACGTGTGATGCACACAAGGGCAGGTGCTCCTGTCCCAGTCTCTGCTGGCCACAGAGCCAAACTTACCATGGTGCCAGATCTCAGGATGGCAGTGGAAGCAAGAACCTATTCCATGTCCAATGAAATAAGGACACACTTGAAAGCCACTGGCGTGGGCGATTTCACTGCCAGAAGAACAAAAAAGTATTAGTTGGCAACAGTGAATATAATTATATGGTATGTATGTTTTTGTTTACATGTAATTATGTATGTGTGTGTGTGTGTACCTGATGGTGTTTCCTATAACACAGAGCTGTGCACCCGGCTTGCAGGCAGCGATGGCCTCATCTCGGCAGCGCCTGGCAGTTTCCACCAATCGCTGCCCGACCTCATCCACCTGGCCAATCAGGAAGGTTTCTGAAGTGTCGCCATGGTACCCATCTAAATACACCTATCGTGAACAGGGCAAAGGTCAGTCACGGGCGCAGCATTGTTCTGACCGGCGAGTTTGTTTGTGTGTTCGGCAACAACTCACAGTGACATCGACGTTGACGATATCTCCGTCTTCAAGTTGCCGACTGCAGGACACCGGCATATAACAAATTAATGCTGCATACACAGAGAACCTCTCACGTTTTCAATAAATGTACAACTTTTGTGTAATAATACCATTAATGCTGGGCATCAACATAGCACCTTACATTTTAAACATACAGTATATATCTATATTTTGTATTTATTTATCTAAGAAGACAAATTGTCCAATAATGACATAAGACGATAAGAAACAGTTTACAAACTTCTCCATCAAGTTCATCATCAAAAGTTTCTATAAAAAGGTCCAACATTTAACAGCAGTTTGTTACAATGTGTAAATGTGTTTTACTTTTGAGGTAAAAGTTATTATCTCAGTGGCCATGTTTATTTTCCCATTGGTAGAATATCATTTTGGCATGAAACAAAGAGAAAATCTTTAACAACAAAACTGTAAAAAACAATTCATCTTAATTTATATGACTTGTGAGTTACTTTTAATGTATGTATGAGTAGATGTCCTGCACATTTACCTGTCGGGGATGCCATGGCAGACCACGTTGTTCACAGATGTGCAGACTGACTTGGGGAAACCCCCGTATCTGAGAGGGGATGGGTAGGCATTGCGCTTGATTGTCTCTTGGTGCACGATGAAGTCTATTTCATCCGTTGTCATACCCACCTGGAAGTCGCAGGTCAAGATCGATATGTTGTTTTTGATGACACGTAAGCACAAACATTACGTGTAGTGATGAGACGCTTACCCTCAGACAGCGTCCAGCTAGTAGCAGTACATGTCTGGCTAGCTGACAGGCTCTGGCGAGGCCTTCGATCTGCTCTTGGCTTTTGATCTCTATGTAGTTTGGCCATTCTGGGATCAGTCTAGTGTTTACATAGTCAGGCCGCACAATGTGCTACAGTCAGAGAAGAGAGGAAAGACAGAATAAGAAGGGTGGCACATATTGTTGTCCCAAGGCTTCATATAAAATCTGGAGTATGAGGTACTGTACCGTGGGCACTGCATAGGCAGGCTTAACAGTAGCTGGGCGAACTATGTGAGAACTTTTCCACTTCCTCCAGAAGAAGTGGCGATGGTGCGGACACAGTAGGGCTTTTGGGGGGCCGCAGCTTCTTAAAGAACAAACTCTCCGCAGGAAACCCCCCAGTCCTGGTGAAAAGGAGAGCAACGGAATGAAGAAGAGAGCTTTCTCTGTCACAGAACTTTTTTGCGAATAACAAATGGCAGAACGGTCATTTTTATGTTGAGCCCCAGCCCCCCTCACCAGTACTCTCTTTTTAGTCAACTGAACAACAATAAAAATGTGTAGCCAACCAAGGCTGGTGAGAATATGTAACAACAAGTAACTGCATGGGGTGTCCTGGTGACCCCATCATTCCCAGTTCGAGTCTGCACAGTGAACTTTGTAGCATTCGATCCCTCTCTTTCACTATCCAATAAAGTCACAAAATGATATGGGAATAAAATAAAATAATATATGTTACTACAGGTCAGATCTACAGGCACAAAGATACACACAAAAGCAGTCCCCGACCGGATACACAGATTAGCCTAATTTAGCTATACCTAGCAAGCTAACAGATGTCAACACACAGCCTCGTCATGTACAAAACATTATGTTTCAATAAACCTTTTTAATACGTAGTTCGTTTTTACGTTGGGCGAGAACAAGAGTGGTCCGAGCTGCCGCTCATCACAGCTGTCTACCCGAGTTTGGACAGTGTTTTAGGTTAGTACCTGCTGATCTTGTTGCCAGTCCCACGGAACAGTGAGCCGCCATGTTCTTTTATTGGTGGTCACGTGGTGTAGACGCCACGTGATGCATAACTCACAACTACAAAAGCTACATTAGTATTCCTGCACTCCCCAGGCCAAATGAAGAAATATAAAGGCGTCACTTTTATGTCATTACACTTTTTCCTATTAATTTATACTTTTACAATACCTCTTCCAGCAGGTGACTTCACAGCGATTTTTAAAATCACATACCACATGGCTAGAGCTGTAGTGCAGGGAGTGGAGACACTGTAATAGGTCACTGCCTTATCAGTGACAACAAACACTGTTGACATCTGGATAGCTCAGGTCAATGAGATAGTGTGTTGTTATTTTTGTGCTGAGAAAGATTTTAATAAGTAGCCTCAACCTACTAGTGGTAGTAGCAGCAGTAGAAGCAACAGTAATAGTATGACAGTATTAGCAAATTACTATTTTGTACTAGCAGCATAAGTAGTAGTAATAGTTGTAGTAGTAGCAATCAGTGGTAAAGCAACATTTTGAGGTGAGGTGATTTTACTTTACTTTGATATTAGTAGACTGGAATAGAGTATTTCCATTTGATGCTATTTTATACTTCTACTTCACTGCATTTTGGAAGTCAATGTTGTACTTTATACTACAACATCAGTTATGCTAGTTATTTGTACTAGTCAACGAATACATTATGATGCATAATACAGATTAAGCTACCCAGCAGTATTTTTTACTCCTTCCAGCACAGGTAGTAGTAGTAATAATACTAGTATTCATGGAGAAGGGGTGAGAAGAGAGCCTGCAGGTTCCATACAAAAGTTTGTGAATCTATAATTTCACATCAGTGCAAACACGTTTACATCAGCTTCAGTGTATGTGTGTGTGTGTGAGTGAGAGAGAGAGAGAGAGAGAGTGCATGCGCGCAGACAGAGTGCATGCGCGCAGAGAGAGAGAGAGAGAGAGAGAGAGAGAGAGCATGCGCGCAGAGAGAGAGAGAGTGCATGCGTGCAGAGAGAGAGAGCATGCGCGCAGAGAGAGAGAGAGAGAGAGAGTGCATGCGCGCACGGTACTAGGATGCGGTCGTGCTCGCGCTTCTACTCACGTTACACGACGCGTTTGAGGGCGTACGTCTGCGCCTTCCTCGCTCACTGTGCGTGACGTCGAATCAGCATGGCGGTCAAGGTGACTTCGGCATCGCTCTCTCAGCGATTTTCAACCCTCTGCTTTAACGTGTCTGCGTGTCTTCTGCTCGTTTTCGTGTGTGTGTGAATGACCCAAAGCTAGTCCTCCCGGTGCAGCCCGAGGCAGGGTGTCTCTGGGGCGGTGTCCTCCTCCGTGGCTGTAGCATCACTGGGCTAGCTGTCGCACCGGCTGGCCTTGATGAGACACCCACAACCTCGAAGTTAGCGAGATAACGCTAAACCGCTGTCGGATTGTTGTTACTAACCGCGATACGACCACAAACGCTAGCTTAACGTGGCATCTTTTTACAGCAGCCGTCTGCAGATTCAAAGCTTAACATGTCGCTGCATCGCGTTGCTAGCCGGCGACCCAAATGGTAGTTTGAGCTTGAAGCAGCTTGGTCGGTGGTTTCGCTTGCTGTCTTGCTCAACGAGAGTCTTGTTGTCCGACTGTAGTCGTTTAACTCTGGTTGTGTCTGTTGTGCGTCTCCTTCACGACAGTGGATGTTTCAAGGAGACAGGAGCCCAAAGCAGCTAGCTTGTTTTGGTTCATGTTATGTGCAGTACCCACCGCCTGCAGGACTTGCTTTGAACACGAGCCTTATTTGTGGGGATGTAAAAAACGCATATTGTCAAATAATGCCATGTGTTATTTTAGGTGCAATCTACCAAACGTGGGGACCCAAGTGAGCTGAAATCAATCTTCCAGAAGGTAAGGTCTGCACAGATTTGATCCTGTCAAAGTCAAATGTTTCTTTGGTCAATGTCAGATTACGCATATATGTGTGTGT